GTCCCAGTTCAGTTGCTTTCACGATACAAGTGTCATACAACTATTAGATTTGAAGTGCCGTTCAGAATTTAATAATAGTTAATACTAGTTAGTTGTATGTTCACACTTTACTATCAAAACCACCATTTCGACCACTCCTGCGCCAGTGATCAGTGTTTGGACGAGCGGTCAGTGTTTTCAATGAGCGAGCGAGCCCCCCCAAAAAAACGCGATTAAAATGCGGTCGGTTTCCGGTCGGACAAGACCGCATGGTCGGAAATTAAGCGTTAAGCGGTCGATGTAAAAGCGGAAGGTTGGGCGAAATGGGTACTGTATGACCATGTTTCTCCGACTAAGTCTCGACTGACAATAATGCTGACAATGAACGTTAGATAAACATGCATTGTTTGCGACTGGAAGCTTATCACCCGTTATATCAGAATCGTCAACAACAGAGTATACAGATAAGATGTTATCATTTAAACCCTTTCAAAGATAGACAATGTGCAAATATCCACGAAACGGCAGTTGTAGTCTTTTCTGCTAGCGTTTTAAAACACTGATTTGAGCGACGTTATCTCGCAATTTCGATCTTTTGTAAACCTGGGATGATGTATCAAGGTCTAAAGTGAACGTTTTATAAATTTTTGAAAAATCAAGAAAAAAGTGAAAATTTCCCTTCTCGCTACCTTAAAGGCCCAGGTATACTATAAATACGCTCCTAAACAATAGGGATTATTCCTTGCTTGTCACACTGTAGTAAACAGCTCCAGCCAAGCTCCGGTAAAAACGTGTTTTCTCAAACTTACATGTCTATTATGTAGTGTCAAAGTGGATGCATATAACTATGAATACCACAGCAGTGACTGTGTGTAATATTTATGACAATAAATAGTGTATGAGCTGAGATTTTGGCGGATAAAAGTAAAAAACATGAACCGGGGAAAGGGATGCGCGACTAATCTTGAATAATTACTACTGTCAATCAAAGTCACGTGATGTTGGATCGCTGAAACAGGATGCGTCATAGGCTATGCAAGTGATTAACACCATGCATTAGAATAGCCACACCTCCAATTCACACTTGCCCAGGGCAAGTGAATTGGGCCTTTAAACACATAAAAAAAGTCATTAAATTCAGTGATGATATAGGAAAACAGATAAATATCATTTTAAATTGTATGCATTATATACTGTGCATGTAATATGAGAAGGGTGTCTCCATTAGTTGTTATTTCTTTGTTTGGTG